GATGACGATGCGGACGATGACGAGAATGATGATGATGACGACGATGGTGTTGATTATGATGATGCAGATGCTGATAATGATGATGCTGCTGATGATGATGCTGGTTTTTATGATGGTGGTGGTGGTGGTGATGATGTCAGGGTGAGGGTGATGATGCTGACGATGATGATTATGGTTGTGGTAGTGGTTATGCATATCGTTGGCGATCGTGATGTCACCGGCGGCGGTGGCGATCATCATTTCGATGATGCTGCTGATGGTGGTGATGATGATGCTGCTGGTGATGATGATACTGGCGACGATTCTGATGATGGTGGGCGCATTCGTCTTGAACATTTGCAGCATTTTCAAGGATTGAGAGCGCTAAGTTGAAGCTGTGCCTCTCGTCTTCTCGCCGCGCCCATTATTCTCATCATGTTGCAACAGCTTCAGATATTGAGGGTGGGTCGTTTCCAAAATCGTTTCCCAGATGGGGTCGTCGCTTTAGCGCCGCGCGCATTTTTGGGCATGCAGGGCAGTTCCTTTTCGAAGTGGGGCCCTCGCCCTTGCGCCGCGTGCAGTTGCTTTCAAACATTTCACAGCGTTTGCAAACTATGGCGCGCAGATCATTTTCAGCATCAGACTCGCCGCAGCACCGCGCACATTCGTTCCAACAGCTTGCAACGGCTGGGTTGGTGAAGCACGGCTCTTCATCATAGGGCCCTCGCTGGAGACCTCTCGGTGTCTCGAGCGCCCAAAGCTGAGCAGCCGCAGCGAACCGCGCGGATCGAGGGCGGCACCCTTTCAAGATGGAGCTCTCGCCTGCGACTTCCTCGAAGACCATGGCCACGAGTTGATTCTCGAAGACGCCCACGGCGAATCACAACCGCCCGCTGCCTCTTGGAATCGCCCATGTGGCCGAGCGCTGTGGCACGAGCTCCGCTAGGCTATCGGACCATGTGTTCCCCCAGCCGTTGCGGCAGTGCTTCGGGGAACATTTGGGGGAGGATGGCGGGGAAGATGAGGAGGAGGAGGAGGAGGAGGAGGAGGAGGAGGAGGAGGGGGAAGGGGGAGGAGGAGGGGGAGGGGAGAAGGATGGGGCATCTTGGGAGCCTCTGGGGGCACTCTTGGGGCTTCCTGGAAGCTTCCTGAGAGCCTCTTGGAGGCATCTTGGGGACCTCCTCGGGCTTCTTGGGAGCCTTAGGGGGCTTCTCGGGGGCCTCTTCTAGTCTTTGCCCGTGTTAAGGCGTTCCTGGCCCGTCTGACGCCGTCGGAAGCCGTCTTGGGGGACTCTCTGGGCCGATTTGGGGCCGTCTTGGGGGCCTCTTGGGCCGTTCTGGGGCCATCTTGGAGGCCTCTTGGGCGATCTTGGGGCGATCTTTGGTGGCTCCTGGGCCGTCTCGGGCTGTCGGAAGGCCGAGAGAAGAGCATCGAGGAGCATCTCTGATCATCGAGAGCAAAAGCACGCACGACATCGACACATGCACATGGAGTGGACGCGCCCGGGCGATGGCAGGTCGCCCGTTGGCTCTCGGATATGTTCTTGCCTCGAGATGCCTCCAGCAGCCGCTCTTCGTGGGGAGCTCTCTGGGGGCGCTCGAATCGCCCCGAGCGGCCGCTAGAGGCCCGCACTAGGACCCTCCTCCTCGTCCTAGTTCCCCTCCGCCTCGCCCCCCCGCTTCCTCTCCTCCTCCGCCTCCCCCCCCTCCTCCTCCTGCCCCTCCTCCTCCTCCTCACTCCTCCTCCTCTCCTGCTTTCCTCCTCCTCCTCCTCCTCCTCCGCCTCCTACTCCTCCCTCCTCCTCCTCCCTTCCTCCCCCTCCCGCCTCCTCCTCCCCTCCCCCCCCCTCCCCCTCCTCCTCCTCCTCCTCCTGCTCCTCCTCCTCCGCCTCCGCCTCCTCCTCCTCCTCCTCCCATATCCGGGGTTGTGGCCGTCCCTTCTTCTTCCAGTGCGACCCCGTGGCCCCCCCTCCCTCGTCCGCGCGCGCGCCTCGGGCCACGATGCTCGAGGAAGAAGCCGCATGGACAGAACAGGGCTGGACCTAAACGGTGTTTTTGTCGATCTCGTCGGCCGTTTTCGTTTCGGCTTCGCTCTGCGGTAGAGGCGGCCTCGAGACAACAGCGAGGGAGAGTGAGAACAAGACGAAAGCGAGCAACACCGTTTAGGTTCAGCCCTGGGACGGAAAGCTGTGGGGGTCCGCGCGGATCTCTTGGGTCTGCGCGGGACCCCCCACGACGGTGCCTTTGGCGCCGCCACCTGGCGCGCTTCGCGCGCAAGGGAAGGGAAGGGGGGGGGTCCTGCGCCAATCCAAGAAATCCGCGCGGACCGTCGAAAGTTTAGGTTTGTGCAGCGTTTCTTCCTGAGGGGAAGGCGTGCTCGCGTTGTGAAACAAATCTCAATGGGGGGGGTTCGGGTAGTTTTCTGTATCTGGGGGTCCTCGCCGAGCCCCAGGCTTCCACAAGAATTCTCGGGATGAATCGCGGGCTCTGGGCAAGGGGCGGGGACTTCCGGGGGCCGCGCATTGAAATGGGGACCGAGGTGCAAGATCGAGGTCAGTTCGGGGAGGGTACCCTCGTGGTCTTCGTGCTTGTTGGATGTTCTCGTGCATCCTGGGGAGGATGTCCCTGCATGTTCTGTGTGTTTTGTCCGGCGGAGGGTCTCATGCTCTTGAGGGATGTATCCCGTTGTCGCTCAACTGGGTTGCGACAGCACGGATTTCCCGCAGGCTGCTCTCCACAGTCTCCAGTAATTCGCCGATGATCGCCCTATTTGTAAAGATGAGTCAGGTACCCTTTACGCTTTCGGCGAGCTTGGTGCGAGCAGCCTGAGCACTACAGAAGAAAACATCTTCTGGCCCAGGAGGAGGTGGAGGAGGAGGAGGAGGAAGAGGAGGAGGAGGAACGGGAGGAGGGGGAGGGGGAGGAGGAGGAGGAGGAGGAGGAGGAGGAGGAGGAGGAGGAGGAGGAGGAGGAGGAGGATCAGGAGGATCAGGAGGAGTGTGTGGGGTCCTCACCACGAGCGGTGAACGTATCCGTCTATCCTCTGCGGTCCCCCGCAGAATCGGTTTCGCCCCCCCCACTTTCGACCCCCTGCTGATCCATACACTTCGCAGTCTACCCCCTACCCGGATCTCAGGAGGAAAACCCACAGACACAATCAATCGTCGATCCCCCCGAAAATATATGGGAATCTATGGGAAGGGGCGGGAAGACGAAAACCCAGAAAAAATGTGGAAAACATGGGAAATCCGGCTACTTGTGTCTATTTATTTACTTGTGTGTGTGTGTGTGTGTGTGTGTGTGTGTGTGTCCCAGGGCCCCTTCAGATTCCTGGCCCCCCCCCCTTCGGCGCACACGAGCCTTCAGTCGGGCCTGTCCCCCTACTGGGGGATTTTCGACGACAAATAACAAATACCCCCCAAATGATCAAAAGTACTCCTAACATGGTAGTTTTTTTGTTTATTCTTTGACCTTTTTGGCGTATTGTTTGGGTACTTCTATCTATTCGTCGAGAATCCCCCTGTAGGGGGACACGCCCGACATCACACGAGCCTCTCCCCCGCCCTCTCCGGAGCACCGGAGCACCCCCTGCGCCCCCGCCGCCCTCGCCGCCCTCGGCGCCCGGGCCCGCCTTGCGCCCGCACCGCCACTCCGCGCCTCGGCGTGGCGCGCGCCGCCCTCCCCGCGGCGGGAAGGCTTGCCACGGCGGGAGGCCTCTCGCGTTATGTCGGGCCTGTCCCCCTACATGGGGATTTTCGACGAAAAATAAATTACCCCAGTGCGACCCTACCTAGGAGTTGGAGCCCCTAGGAAAGCAGCATTAGTAGTAAGGGTAAACGACGTCCTCCTCTTTCTCCTCATCGTCGCAGTTGCCTTTGCTTTTGCTTGTTTTTGCTTTTGCTTGGTCTTGCTTTTGCTCTGCCTTCGCACACACACACACACGCATGTTTTTGCATTCGCTCACCGGGTGGGCTCTCTGATCGTACTGTTGCACATTGCTTTTGCTTTGTTTTTCCTTTGCTTTGCTTTTGCTTTTGCTTTGCTTTGCTTTGCGTTGCTAGTGCTTTGCTTTGCTGTTGCTGCTGTTGCTTTGCCTTTGCTTTGCTGCCATGCTATGCTGTGCTATGCTATGATATGCTGCACTATGCTATGCTATGCTATGCTATGATATACTGCGCTATGCTGCGCTATGATACGCTACGCTAGGCTGCGCTGTGTTATGCTAGGCTATGGTATGCTATGCTATGCTGCGCTATGCTATGCTATGCTGTGCTACGCTGCGCTATTCTATGCAATGCTATGCTATGCTATGCTGCGCTATGCTAAGCTAAACTAAGCTACAGCTAAGCGAAGCTAAGATGAAGCTAAGCTAAGCCAAGCTAAGCTAAGCCAAGCTAAGCTAAGACGAGACAAGCTAAGCCAAGCTAAGGGGGCGCGACTGGGGGAACCGCGGGGCGGGGACTGGGGGAACCGCCCGGGGCGCGTTCCACTGCCCGGCCCCTTTAAGCTAAGAGAGTAAGAACCCTCTAGGCAGAGCCTAGGTAGGGAAAAATACCACCAACAAATCAAGAAATAGTCCACCAATAGTCCGGGGATTATTTTTCGAGTAGGGTTTTTTTGGGGGGTATTTTTTTTTTCCGTCGAAAATCCCCCTGTAGGGGGACACGCCCGACATAACTCTCGCGTCATGGCGTCGGCCTCCGGGGGCCCCTGCCAGGCCCCTCGGGGCCGCCGACGGACTGGCTCGGGAGGAAGGGAGCCGGTCCTGGGGAAGGGGTCCAGACCTCTCTGATCGGGGGAGCGTAAGACCCGGGTTTGCCGGGACTCGGGTTCGCCATCGTTTTTTGACGACCGTGACTCGGATTTTGACGAGGAGGAGTTTCGTGGGATGTCTGCAGCGGGAGGCCTCGTCAAAATGCAGGCTCGGCCTCGTCATTGTTTTGACGACCTCGTCGGGGATTTCCGAGTCCCCCGTACCCAGGTCTTACGTCTCCCCGATCTGAGGGTGGGCGTGGCGCAGAG